TAACTGCGGTTACTGAAACCACCCCTTTCTTTCTTTGCGTGCACATTTGGGTGCATTATGCAAATATTTCCACATAGTGAGGTAGATATGTGGGGGCGTGTTAGAACGAGCCGTTTTAGGGGGGCGTGGCAGAGTCTTAACTTTGATAAAGAATATCTCTTTGGTTTTGAGACTTTAGTCTTTGCAACTTCAGGGATCTTATCTATGCACAGTCAGCTTGTAACACTCCAAAGAGAAAGGAAAACTTTAAATCGCATCATATGACCCCTTTAAGAATCCTAAAAAATATGTAATAAAAAAATCATGCATTTTCTTGAGAAAAAATTCAAATGTCATTCAATCACAGTTTAATAACTAGTGTTTTACCTGCAAAATATGGCATAAATATTGTAAATAAAATATCATATTTTATATGTTATAAATGTAAGATACACTACTGTTATATACTGCTATATTTTTATTTAGCAGCGATTTAGTACATTGATCAAAAGTGATTGTAAAGACACAAACCGTTTCTGCTGTTCTTTTGATTTATGATGTCCTTAATCAAATAACCATGAATAGAAATGTAGCACGGTTTCCACAAAAATATGAAGCAGTCCAGCTGTTTTCAACATTTATATGAATAAAAATGTTTCTTGAGCAGCAAATCAACATATTAGAATTATTCCTGAAGGATCAAGTGACACTGAAGACTGGAGGAATGATGCTGAAAATTCAGCTTTGCGTCACAGAAATGAATTTAATTTTAAAATATATTCAAATACAAAACAGTTCTTTTAAATTGCAATAATATTTCACAATATTGCTGTTTTGGCTGTGTTTTTGATGTAATAAATGCAGTTTTGCTAAGAGACTTCTTTTAAAAACATTTAAAAATCTCACCGACCCCAATCTTTTGAACGGTAGTAAATTTGAACTTGTTGTCTCCTCACACTTGTGTTTACATCAAAGGAAATAGGTGTTGAGAGGAAAGTACTGGACTAGCTGGTGTTGGTAAACTGGTTTATTGGCACATTAGGCGGTTTGCAGACATATCTGTGTCAGTTGTCATGGTGAAAGCTCTCATCTCTCTCAAATGGATCCTGCATCCTTCTCTAATGTCCGTCACTGAGGCAACAACCTTCACAGGTCTGCGTGGAAGCAGATAACCGTACGCCAGCACGCAGCTCTATCAACACACGGCCTTATCGAGGCCTGCCACCCGCAGCTGCTCTCTCTGCAATGCAGCTCTTCGTCGCTTGAAAAGACGGGGTCATGCTTAAATCCTGTCTGACCTTTATGTGGCAGACACTCTGTCACCCTCTTTTGTTCTCATCGGTATTCAGAAAGCCGTCTCCGTTTATTTTGGCTGTTTTTAAACCTCACTTTCTCTGCCATATTGTTTTTCCCATCCAGCTTTGATGTGTTTCCAGTTCCACATCATCATGGATAAAACAAATGTGTGTCTGAGTCATGTTTGAAAAGTGTCTGGAAATAATCCACCATCATTTGGACCTTTGGTGTTATGTTCTGTTTGAAAGTCAATAAAATGCAGTATTGCATGGTGCCTATGCTAATTGCTATGGAAGCCCATTTCTACCATGGAAAAAAAGGTAATTGTATGACTTTTTATCGTACAATTCAGACTTTGTTTCTCGTAAGTCTGGGAAAAAGTCAGAACTGTGAGATATAAACACAATTCTGACAATTCTGAGTTTATATCTTGCTTTTTGGACTTTTTTTCCCCTCAGAATTTGGAGTTTACATCTCGTAATTCTGAATTTTGTCTCTGAATTCCAAGTTTACATCTCACAATCCTGTTTTTTTTCTGCCTTGAAATAAAAAAAAGGTAAAAAGGTAACTGCGACTATTTGTCTCACAATTGCGACTTTTTTCCTTGTAATTGTGAGTTTATATCTCACAATTCTGGCTTTTTTCTCTGAAAAAAGGTAATTGCGGCTATTTTTCTCACTTTTTAAAAATATTTATTTATGGGCTTTTTTATGCTTTTATTTGGACAGAACAGTATAGAGTTGACAGGAAAGAATTGGGTGGAGAGAGAGGGGGTGGGATCGGCAAAAGACCATGAGACGGGATTCGAACTCGAGAGTATGCAGAGCTTCGGTTCATTTTTGTGCTGCGTGAAAGGAAACCAGACGGCAGAAAGCGGCATCCTATTTTTCTTTAGGCTTATTTTACAAAAGCACAAAGATTTGTTTTTATTGTGAATGTACACAAATAAAAGCAAGCCTTTTACAATTCCGATTATTTTTAT